GAGACACCTTAATCCCCCCATGGGAGCCCTGGGCACCCCCCTTCCTGAGAGACAACAGGTCTATATACACATTGTGTATAGTGAGACCTCAAGCCAGGCCTTTTGCCAAAATAAGTCAGAGTAGCTTTATTGAATTCAACATAGTTACACTGATTTATCTCAGCTGAAGATACGGCCCCAGAATATCCTGTTTCCATGTGTTGGCTCAAATGAACACTCTGTTAATCAAGGCAAGCTCCCTAGGTGCGAATGGTCCAATGTTCTCATTATCTAAATAAACCCATGAGATGCATGCAGGTAACAGTAGCCCATCTTAATACATCCCTTCATAGTATAGTATCACCAAAGAACTGGTTTGAGGTGAATCATACCTCAAAGGAAGGAATAATCATTACAGCTCTTTTTGGTGTAAAGAACCTACCTCTGCTGCCTGGAGGCTTTAAGACAGCAGTCCATTTACATCATGCTGTTCTATCTAAAACCCTGCAGTCTAAAATTTCCCTGAGCTTTTATGGGCAGGCATATCAGGTAAACAAATAGATATAGGTGCTTCTCAATGTCAAGAGGGCAACACAGATCCAGTCAATACTTACAGAAGCTCAGTTTGTGACTGCCAATAGAAAAACAATGCCTACAAGTCCCATTCTGATAGGTGTGCCTATCAGTTTCTGATATTCTATGTTCCATTATAGTAAAGATGGAGCGAACAGGTTTGGAGAACTCAATGGTTTTCTGGCAACTAGACCAAATTAGAAGTGCATTAATGTTTGATTTTATTTCTACTACACAATTTGCCTCTTGCAAAGCAAAATACTTCCAGTGGCCACCATCCTGTCTCACCTGTGCTGAAGCACCAGCATTCAACTCTGGAGCAAGCAACTGGCCTATGTCTTACACTTCCTGCTTCATGTTGCAGGTGTTCCTAGGTAGAGAGCAACATGAAACAAAGGCATCTCGCTTACAGCAGGACAGAATGATATGGATCTATTAACAGAAGCATCCTGACACTTAGACCCAGACAGGGTGTGGGTATCTAGCTGTTGCTTGATGCAACGCTTCTTACTGTTCTCATGCTTGTCCCATGGATAATATGGACTTACTCAGACGTGTTTGGAATCTTTCACTTTAACAAAATAGCTGCATTGTTTGGAGGAATATTGACGGCCAAGATCAGAGTTAATACTTTCAGGGATTCCATGTTTGGCAAATATAACCTTCAATTTTGAGATTACTGTGGTACTTTGGGAATTGTTCAGGCTAATTACTACAGGATTTGATAACAATGACACACTGTAGTCTGCGTTTCCACATAAACAAATCATGCCCAAGGGCTCCCATTGGTTTACTGGCATTTCACGTAGTGTTGTGCTGTGCTTTTCTTGCATTTCTCCATATACTTTTTAAGTCATAGTGAACATCTTCCAAAAAGTTGCTTAATTTGTTGAAGTATATTAAGCCAAAAGAATGCACCAAGTGGTCTCTGGATTTTTTCGTGTCTGTGTGCTTAGTTAGGATTCACATTCACCTATTTTGTTGTAATGTGATGGTAACTGTTACATGGTAACTATTCATGATTTAATCTCTTCAGGACAAGGTTTTCCACTTTAAATGGTAACTGTTCCTTTACAGACAGGGAAGACATGCCATCCAAAAGCAAAAGTTCATCCTTACATGAGAACATGAAATAATCTGCCTAGTGTCTGCACATCCATGTTATGTTATTTGTTCCAAATCATTTGTTTATTTAATCTTCCTTCTCAGTTGCCTCTAATTTCCATCATTTCCTGATTATGTGCCTGCATACTGATCCCAACATTGGTGTTGGCACAGATACCAATGTCCATAAAGGAAGTATATTTTCCTGGGCAATATATAAGACCATTATCTTTCTGCAGCTGGAGAGTTTATCTTGTAATATGGACAGGGATCCAGCAAGTGGTTTCCTCCAAACTGATCTAAGCAGTTGAGAGTTGGATTCAACTATAGTACTTTACATATGTTGTTGAAAGTGCTTGCATCCAAATCTAGTTTCATATAGCTTGCTTCCTCATTTGTACATGATATTTGTTATGGTGGCATGAAGGACTTTCATATATAACATAGCAGCCAAACTCCCTAGAGCACTGCTGCACCACCTCTGCTTGTAGAGTTAGTTGCTTGTTGGGATCAAGGTAAGTACTTTATTAATTTATTTTACTAGGATTATCAATTATTTATATTGCAACAGCAATGAGAGGCCTTGGGCAGGGATTGGATTCCAGTGAAAAGAGGGTTTCTTCCAGAAATAGCTCTCAGTCTAAGAAAAAATCCTGTTTTGCCATCTATAGAAGACTATATTTTGCTTTTGTAAGGTTAGGAGGCAGTTTCATGATCTCTGTCATAGTTACTTTGCTGGCTACAGATTCATTCTATCTGCATTAAGGCAGGTTCTATACTACTTTATACTGAAATGCAAATCATGCTTTTCTTGAAATCCAGATTCACACTTTTTTTCTGTGCATCACTTTAGGATATGACAGGGCAAAAATGTTTGCATTATATCCTCACTTGAAGTAAGGAATTACAAGAATGTCGTCCTTGATGCCTGTAGCTTAGGTGTCCTTCATACATTCAGATTTCATCTCATACTCAAATAATGCCATAAGGGCAAGTAAAGAAACCCAGATCAGCAACATTTGCAGTCATTCATAATGAATTTTCCAAGAGTGTGTGTGATGCTCTGACCTTACACCCCACACAGAGTTTCAAACACTAGCAGATGTTTATCACTCATTTAAGACGGGGCTTTTCTACATTTAGCGAGTTAACATGGTCTACTCTCTGTCACTTAATTATTAGACTATATTTACCATGCAATCCAATTCCTGCTGCAGATGACTACTGAATATAATTGATCTCTCATTCTATGGAAGGGACTGAAAAAGATTAAAACAAGCTTCTGATGAAAACAGTATAACTGCTTTACATTTATTTCTGTGTTTTGCCTAAATATCAGATTATGTATTCTCAGTTGAGCCTAAAAAATAATACCACTTATATAAATTCCAGGTCCGGATACAGTTCCAAAATGGTGTGGCCCAGGGCTCCGAAAGTGCATAATTCAGACTTCATTACTAAAGTTTCACATCTGCTTTGTAGCTTGCATTTGCTTTATCCTTAGCCTTTTTGCTCAGTGGTGATTAGGGTCTATATTGAAACTGAAGGTCTGATTGTGGAGAAATGTGTCCTCTAATGTAAGCAAGCCAGACTTATGAACAGTATGAACATCTGGATCCAATGAGATATTATGAAATTGCTTGGCTCTGACACAATCTTTTTATTTCTTGAGCTTTGTTAGCACTATCTTACTTACTTTAAACCTTGCAGGGATCAGAAAGATTGTATCACATGCTGATCAGAAGTGTCCATCGTTTTCTTTGAATTCCATCCACATGCCTCTGCAAAGTGATTCCATCTGTGACAACCATCTGCAGAAAAAACGTCTGTACTAATGTCTC